TTATAGAATGATCCTGATCGATAAACCCCTATCTTAGCAATGATTTCTATCGATTAAGGTAATTCGATATTGATTCAACAATCGAGCCGCCGTTTTCCCAGACTGTTCAGGGTAGGGAAAAATTCCCAAACTTTCCCCAAGTTTCCCTCGACTTTACAAAACCTTGTAGCCCTGTCATGTGACATTTTGAGGAGACCAAACGTGATGTGAAGCTTCATTTCTTAGCCTGCCGAGTAATCCATCGACTAGCGTGCAAATCAGTCAGCGGAATCATACGTTTCCACGTCAACGTCCGACGTCCAATCACCCACGTTTCCCGCGTCATGTCATCTCGAGTCGCGACCCGCGAGTCCGGCCTCGGAACATTACAGTACTATTGAAAAACGCCGTATCAGCCTTTAGACGTTGCCAGATTGCCTTCAATAAAAATCAAAGTTACCGGAAATTTTTTTAATGTTCGTCTTCAAATTTTTCGGACAATTTTTTTCGCAATTTAATCTAATATATCTGAAAATTTCGAGGAAAAGTATAATTAGCTTTCCTCGCAAATTAAGTTCTACACGGGAAAATTTTGTAAATCTCGAATGATAATACGGCGTATTTCCTTAACACGGCAAAATGGGTGCCCCGCGAGACCGGCCTCGGAACACAATTGTGCTAAAGAAAAACGCCGTATGAGTCTAATAGACGTTGCCAGATTGCCTTCAATAAAAACGAAAGTTACTAGGGTAAAGTTTGAATATTTTTCTTCAAATTTTCTGGACAGTTTTTGACGCAATTCGATTTAAAATATCTGAAACTTTCGAGAAAAAATATGATTACCTTTCTTTGAAAATAAATGTTTATCACGGGGAAATTCGGCAACTCCGAAATGTTCATACGACGTTTTTCTTCAGGAGGGCAGAATGGGTGCCCGGTGCCGGCTATGCAAAAAATATGCGCGTTGAGGCAGGTCAGGGCCTTGGGTCTGGGCTCTCGCGTGGCTCCCGTGAATGACAATTCCATAGCTCGGCCGAGCAACTTAATTACGGCCGGTGTCATTGATCGGATGCGAACCCGCGATCCCGCGGCTCCGGGCCGGCACGACAATCATCACGCCAACTAATCTCTAAGTGCCGCCGCCACCGCCTCCCGCACCCGCGGTCAGCTCTCGTGCCAGCGCCTTTGAGAACCCGCCATTCGAGGCCACGAATTCGTTGTTAAAAATATACGGAAAAATCTAAGGCGTTTTACCAAAGATTGCAGCTAACTAATTGTTGATGTACCAGGGTGTCTACTGAATTTTAATTTTGGATTATCTTGATATTTTTCTGATTTTTCACGCGAATGAATTGTCACTGGTTAGACACAAGAGACAATGTATTTGATGAATTGAATCAATTGTGAGAAAAATGCTGGAGACACTCGGAAATTCCTAATCCATGGCGGATTTTCCTGATGATCCTACTATTTTTCTTGATTTTTCCTGATCTTTGGACAAGATTTTCTGAATTTCCGCGCGAATAGATTATCACTCGTTAGATTTAAGAAATCAACATAATTATTTGTTGAATTTAATCAAACGTTTGTACAATTCTTGACACACTGAATATTCCCTGATCCATGACTGATTTTCCTGATTACATCAAACTTCATCAAACTACTGACGGCAGACACCCGTGACAATGATAGGCAAAGCGATAGACAAATGAGACACAGGGAAAACGGAGCAATCCTATTGATTGAAGCGATTGGTTGCAATAGACAAAGAAAGTAAGTTCTTCCTCAGCATATGAGAATCATCAGTTTTAACCGATAGGATCACTCAATTTTCACTGTGTTTCCTTTGTCTGTCGCTTCGTCTACCACTTTCAACAATCAACTCACTGAACTTCCCTTGAGTGCTCTTCGCACACTACGAAATCCCCCACTCGAGGTACACTGAGGGTCATTCTGAGACGTTTTTAAATCAAGTTGAAAATAAAAATCGATTTTTACAAGTTATTGATCATCGAAGGACAATGTAACATAGGTGGGTTGGTCTCATTCCCATTCACCGGTATAAGCCAAGGGTAATCCCTATTTGGACTGCAAATTGGGGCTGCGTTGTCCAATTTTGACCAAATCCCGTTGAATTCACCCAGAAACTAAATATAAATGTTAAGGGATTACTATAAAACGAGCGGCGCGGTTTCTGGACGCCGGGTTCGATTCTTGGCACGGTCACCAGATACTTGAGCCTGATTTAGGGCACCGGGCAACAGGTCTGGAGTGGGCTTAGGATACCGCGATTTATGGGATGAATATATTCATCAGCATGGAAAAAGGGTCAGCTTGAAAAGTCTATGCAATTAGACGCATTATGCACCACTAAGAAAGGTCACAATTCAGGCACTACCACACATGTTCCTTGTGGTCAAATATTCACGTATAACGCGATGGACTAGTTAAAAGTTTCAAAATGAAACTCAATGTGATAAATGAAAGGGTCATTATGTCAAACGGTGAGGCGTAGATCGTAGATCGATAAATAGATTTAAAGTAGGAATCTTGCGAACCAACGAAAAAACAGTACACCCACTCATCAAATTATAATTATATATTTTTTTTATTTTCGCCAAGTAAGAGGACTTCAGAGAGATAAGCTGACGAGATACATTTCTCAAAGAAATCGCACTTTTCGAAACATTTTGGAGTAAAATTTACTGAAGTTTCTCAAAGTGAGAGATTTCCTCTCCTCCCTCCGAAAAAAGTAAAAATTGCAGGATTCGCAGAAATACAGCACTGGAAAAAAAAAGTCTCTTGGATCCACAGTCCAGACTCTTAGAAAGTTTGACAAAAAAAAAAAAAATACTTATGCTTCAATCGGATTTTTGCTTGAATCGGGAGCTAAGCCTCACCGGCTTTTTTTTTAATTCGGCGCTTCAATTTAAGTGAATTTCCTTCTCATTCGAGCAAAAATCCCTTTGAATCAAGAATATTTTTTCTTGCCAAATTTTCAAGAGTCTGCGGACTCTGAATCCAAGATACCTACTTTCTTTTTCCAGTGTGTGACGGATGGAGTTTTATTTCAATTCAAGGTTTGTATGATTTTCAGATTTCCATTGGGACAACTGAAATTCCATCAGGAAGGAATTGTCAACAGGACGTCCTAAAGGGACCCCGGAATTTTCCTCCATGCGAAACAGCAAAAAATTGAGTAGGCCTCGCGGGGCTATCTTTAGTCGGCAGCTATCAAAGTCGCATGCCTGGGATCGGATAAATCCCCGTAGTTACCGGTCGACAAACCCGGCGCGGGCGATGGCGGAGCATGTAATGCGGCCGGCCGTTTAACGTCCAAGAGCTGCGCGACCGGCCTCCACTCCTGGTGGGCAATATTTCGCCTCCCCCATAATAAATTGCTCCAGTTCCGCTAGTCAAGCTCGGACCTTGAACTAGATGCTTTTCAAGCTCCAAGACGCTGGCTTGCATAGCGCCGGCATAATCGCCCGCTGCGCAGGTGGCACGGAAACACGACACACTTCGGCCCGTTCCTGGCTTTGTCGTGTTAAATAGTTAATTGAGACGTCCACGATTAAAACTGGACGTTGGCAACGAGAACCAACCCCTGCGGTCGGAGAAATTAAACGAGTTGTATGATCATTCTCGATAATGCGGTACTCATGCATTTCATGAATATAATAAGTCGCAGAGAAATAGACAAATATGGCATTTTGTCAAATGCCTCGGCAAAAATTCAAAGGGCACTTTATTTATTTATTTACTCATTTAGATAAGCAAGTTAATCAATTCTAAAATTGCATTTTAGTAGTTATTTAACTATTAATAAAATATGAAAGTTTAAGCTTTTTCAACTAACCATAAAGATAATGTGTTGGGAGAGGATTAATTTGAACTTCGCACACAAGATTATTCTTGCTGCATTAAATGAGATTTTCGTTACTGTCAGGTTTCTTCTTGGCACTCATTGATGTTCCTTAAAAAGTTCCATTTCCTAGGAAATCCCACACGGTTCATTACATGGTGACTTAAGGAAATTTACGGATGTCAGTATCAGGCAAAGGACCATTTTTACGATCTCGAGAAAAAATGCAACAAAATAACTTTGAAAATAGACCCTTACACTTGATTTCAATGATTTAACACTGGAAAAAATTATTAGTACAAAAGAAAAAATTCTAAAGGGGTTTTGGAAATTTTTCGTGTCTACCTTTAAGTTTGTCAAAATCATGGACATTTTGTTTTCATTTAAGTATTCTTGACGAAGAAAATAATTATTCAGCCATCGTGCGTAAAAATTCACTAAAAAACTGAAAAACTCACGATAGAGAGAAGAAGCTCATACGAGCACAATTTTACCCTTACGGAAAAAGGTGTTTGGTGTATCACTAGTTACGACTAACAAGGAGGCCAACTGCAGGCGCGTTTCGGATCCAAGAAGGAAAAATTGTCCTTAAATCAGCTTTTTTTTTTCTTAACGGAGAATGAAATTTCCGGATTTTAACTGAATTTTGACGCGCAACTGCAAAATTAAAGTCTCTGTCAATTGATAAGCTGGTCAGCATTTCAGGTCTTGCCTAGTTTTCTGGACGTTCTTTTTTGTGGTACTTCGGAATTTTTTCTATCTGATTTCGAGCAAAATTTGTTGTTCGAAACCTAAAAACCATTCTAGAAAACAAAGGAAGGTGATTTGACAAATTTTTCCTGACATTTTCGTCATTTTCCCTGACATTTCCCGGTTTTCCCTGACTGTGGCAACCCTGAGAAAACCATTGCTGAACTTCAATGCGCAAAAGTTTGCTCCATGAGTATTACAAAACAAAACATCTCCTCTCAAGACACGTGCGTTTCTTCCTGATTCCCAGCACTCTCATTACTTCGAAAGCCATCCACGAGACGCAGCTTCCTGCTCCGTCGTCGTGGCGAAACAAAGCTAGCGGGACAAAAGCATCTAAAGCTACGACCGGAAAATGTTAGGAGTGAAGAGTAGCGTTAGCTAACGAGGGATCTCATGGACTCACCATTGAAACGGAGGATGAAAGTGGCAGCGAAGGACTCGCGGAGACCTGACACCAGGTGTCGATTGCGACCCCAAACACTCACACCCACACCATGAAAAAACACACTACGCGCCGGTGACTTTCCACGGCTCCATCTTTAACGGGACATCTTCTCAACACGCGAGGCGACCATCCCTCTACTACCGTTTAAAATTGAACACATAAATAGGTAAAGTTACGAAACGATCAAATGTTCAACACAATGGATCACAAAATTTTGATTTCGTAAGACAGGATGCCGCAGTATTTTAACGTGAAAGTTAAGTTACAATAAGAGCAAAATTTTGATTTATATCATGGCAACTGTAGAATTTGAACTTTTACTCGGCGAAAATTCGCGGTAAAATTATTTTGTCGACATGGCACAAGGTTAATTTTGATTTTGTAATTTTGCGAGTCATTCACACCGCGCGCTGAACAATAACAAAGCGATCGATTAAACCGGGTGGAATGTCCTCCGTTGCAACTTGCAGGTAAACAATTTTGGGCCGACAAAGCTGATCCATACTTGAACTTTGTCGACGCGGCTTCTGTCACTTAACACAAACAAATTTTGACTGCATACCGATCAAACATTACTGAGCAATCCGTTTATCCGCACTTCAGCCGAGCTTAAAAACTTCGGACGGAAAATTTTCGGAACGATCCAACTTTAATATCATGAAAAAATCGACTGTTACAATGAAAGAAAACTTTCAAAAGTAAGCATAAATTCAGTAGTAATGTATATTATCTCTCGAAATAGCAGGTAAAAATCAACGAAACATCGGTTGCAAAAATCAGCGTATGTCAATGCGGTGATCGGCGTGATGGCACGTAAGATGGCAACGATTTTTTAAAGTTGAGCAGATTTGATGAGCAAGGCAACAAACTACCTTGAAAAATTAATCCAAATAATAAGTGAAAATTCCACAATTTAGGCGGAGCGCTACATTCACCACAAGCGCTTCATCGCGGAGAAAACGCGTTTCCCGCAAATTCGCGTATTTCATTAACCGGCAGAGAAAAAGAGAAAACATTTTTTGTAGTCAAAACTTCGCGTGAAATTGCAACTTCCAAAAATTGGCACTCCGACTAATCCATGACAAGAACGAAATTTCGAAGCTAGGGAGCTCGAAAATCCTTCAACGATAAAATCCTGCAAGATTTCCGACTAATCCAACCGATAAGGAAAAACCAACTTACACAGTCAAAACGTCAAATTTGAAAAAATCGACACTGTAACTGATCGGGCTTGAGACTTTCGGTTTCGGGTGCGCCGCTGCGCGCGGTACGTGTTGGCGGGACGACGTCACGATAAACACTAGCGCCGCGAACCACGTGGTCCGCGGGTCAGCGCCGCGACGCCCGCGAGGCGCGGAGGGGGGCGCTCCTCCGACGGTGGGGGACCCGGTGACGATGACGCCGCGCCGTGTAACCGCGTTATGGTTGCGCCGAACGCCCACGCACGGACCGGATGATCGCCAGCGATTACTTTTCCCGCCGCGGAGAAAACGCACGGATGCTGAAGACTATGCCTATTCAAAGTCGTTCACTTAGAATCAGAGAATCCTGATCATTTGAGATGGGAAAACTTGTAAAAGTGAGGGCACTTTTACGCTCGATTTTGGAGCATGGTGTCTAGTTTTCTTGGCAAAGCTCATTCCCTGATTTTCCCCTGATTTTCAGGAGCTCATTTCCTCATGAGAAACCGAAGTTTTCTCCCACTTTCTCGGGATTTTCTTGGAGAAAAATATAATTTTCCAGAGTTTTTAGTGTTGATTTTAATTAATCTTACAGCCATATCTTTGGCGCACGTCAGATTAGACCGCCAAATTTGAAAACGAAATGATCCCTGGGTGGTTCGAGAAGAGATTCCCGGTTTCTGGAACAAATTTACTGATTTTCCCCTGATTTTCCCGGAAAATTTTTATTCCCTGATGAATCCCGGTTTTCCCCGGTTTTTAAAAAACTAGACACCATATTTTAGAGACACCCTGTCTGGTTTCCTTTCACAGAATCTTAGAGATAGCGAGGAGATACGAACAGTTTTCGTCAGGGCATACTCCTAGAAATCAGGGAACTAACAACCAGGGACTGCAGGAATCTACGAATTGAAGACACCATGCCCGAAATTGACTGTAACGGTTTTCTATAATCAGTGCGAACTTCAGGCTGCAGGCTCTTAAAAAAATACTCATGCAGGGCCTCATTTATAATTGTTGTTTACACTCAAGGGTTCTTTTAAGAGTTTCTTTTCCTCAAAAGGTCCCTTGTGGCTTACATTGAGATTCAGGGAGGAATAAAGGAATCCTACATTGCTAGAAGGACAATTTTGACGAAACAAGAGTGAAATTCATTGCTGTAACTATAAAAATGAACCCTTACAAAGGCTTGTAATGATTAGCTTTAACAGGTAAAAATAAAGAACATGTTTTGCTGGTTTTTAAAAACGTAATGTAAGTTCGAGTCTACTGTGAGGATTATCAAAATCACAAAATTTTAACTGGTTATGCCTACTTACTGTCTCTTGAGATTCCCTGCGAAAAAACTGGACAGGGTATCTCTCTCACTTGGACAAGTTTCCCCCGATAAAAATTATCAAATTTCTCTGATTTCTTATTGCTCATCAACCATCAATAGATGGAAAATAGCGCTGATCCCGGAACTTAAATTTTGCCTCCCTCGTTTACATTCCTTAGATTGTTTGTGCGAGGTCTCTAGAACATACAAACGGCCAAAAAACGAAACCACGTACCTCCGTTTGCGACGTTTCAGACTTCACGTCATACTCAATTTCCCACAATTTTCCCTCAATTTTATTCTCTGTCAGCATACAAACGGCCAAAATCCGAAACCACGAACCTCCGTTTGCGACGTTTCAGACTTCACGCCATACTCAATTTCCCACAATTTTCCCTCAATTTTCTTCTCTGTCAGCATACTAATCTACGTATACATGTCACGCTATGAAGTAGGCTCGGTTTCTTTTCGAAAAATATACCAGAAATTGTGAAACACAGCAAAGGAGATACGTGGTTTCGTACTTTGGCCATTGATATTGTCTGCGGTTGAAATTCGGTGGGCACAACTCAAGAGTCACCTGGACGTCGGCGTTCTCCTGGCAGGTAGTGGAGCGAGGGACACTCGACACTGGACGCCAATGAGTATGACTGCAGAAAACGGAGGCCGTCCAATTAGACCGTTGATTAATGAGCGCCAGCGTCGCGACGCCCGCCCGCCGACGCCGACGACGGCCACCGCGCATGCGCGTCCGTCCACACCTCTCGTTTCTCTCGTTTATTAATAAACGCCGATATTTCACGCTGCGTCGCTCCCGGATCCGACGCCCCAACCCCACTCGCGCTCCGGCGCCACAAATCGCGCAGCGTGACCAAGCTCCAGGATTTTACCTCTCCTCGAAAATTAAGGCAGATTCCCGGTTGGGTACCTGCATGGAGAGAGTATACGAACACATTGAAATATGGAGCACATTGGCGTGTCATGCTATGCGATAGATCGATTGATCGACCATTTAAACCTGTGGAAAAGTATTGATAAACAGGGTGTTCGCAGCGAACACCTTAATAATCGATCATTTACCACAGCTTCAAATGGGGAAATATCGATGGATCGCAAAGCACGCCACGCCACTGATGGAGCACTCATAGGGCCCAAAGGGTCAGCCGACCTTCTAACATTTAAAACACCAGAAAAATGGCGTGGCCAATATATAGATTCCAATATCAAACCAAGATGGCCAAGAATGTACATAAATGAGCGTCATTCCGCAAAATGAGTAAATTTATGGTATAACAAAGTCAAATATCGTCACCTTCTGGCCAAATTATCACAAGCTCCATACTATGTTTAAGCATTTCCGCCGTCATTTTGTTTTTTTACAGAGAAATTGGTGGCTGAATCTGTTTGGTAATTTCATTGAATTTTATCGGGAGCACAAAGAAAATTCAGTAAAATTTTCGGACAGCTTCGTTGAAAAATTTCTCAGTAGAAAAATATAATGCTGGCGGAGATGTTTAAACGTCGCATGACGCTTGTGATACTTAGGCCGGAAGGTGACGATGTGTGGTATACAAACGTTTGGTCGCAATAACTGTGATGATAAATAATTCTAGATATTTTGACTTCACAGGTTGGCTGGCCGATAGACCCCTAAAAGTCCCATCCCCATATTGGTACTCTGAATCCTATGGGCTGTAAGGAAATGAGACGTATCTGCAGTGCGCTCTTTCAAAAACTGTCTTCATGGTGAAAAGAGAATGGAGCTCTTGTATATGTGTCTTACAATAAATTACGATCAACATGCTGTCTCGTGTGTAAAATCTCAGGACAAATACGCACGGAGAAAAAAAGCTCGTGCGTGGGACCCGAAGTTTAGGTCATATGGATCTCTGAAGTTTTCAGATTGAGCATCTGAACACTTTAGGTCTAGCTGCCGAAGTTCGGATCATACATCTGAAACTTCAGTTCTTACATCTGAAGTACTTCGGTTTTCACATCCGAAGTACTTCGGTTCTCACATCTGAAGTACTTCAGATGTGAGAACTGAAGTTTCAGATGTATGATCCGAACTTCGGCAGCTAGACCTAAAGTGTTCAGACGCTCAATCTGAAAACTTCAGAGATCCATACATATGACCTAAACTTCGGGTCCCACGCACGAGTTTTTTTTTCTCCGTGCGATAGTGCCACTGAATTGCACTGAAAGGAACTTCAAAACTCAAAAATAGCTCTCAAAGTTAAGGCCGTTAGGGAGGGGAAGCTTTAAGCTACGCTGAGAGTCCACCTCTTCAATCACTCATAATGCATGAATAGAAAGCAATTAAATTAACAGGGCTATCATGGTTCCAGTCTTGGAGTCCCCAAAATACCTGTCATGCTATGACTATAACCTGTATTTTACTCAATTTTTTTTAAGATTTCATTTCCCTACACTTGATAAAAGAGAATTAATTGTATGGTGTCTCATACTGATCAACCTCGTCAAGTTGGGCACCCCTAGATAGACTCTCGCTTTGGACGACCCTCCCGAAATATCCGTGAAACATAAAGCCCGAATGAAGTTGTAAATCGTTGGGAGAAACGATGATCTTGCTCTCACTGGCTGTAATCGCAATGAGCAACGATAAGCAGCGTGGTTTGTATACATATTGCACATTATTCCCTAATTTCGTAGATAATCGTGGAACAGGTGTCTTGGGATTGCGCAGCCGCTCGGAGCGACTCCTCCGGGTCGCGAGATCCATGCGCCTGACATCGCCGCAAAGCCACGCTTCACCAAGACGCGGGCGACGCCAAAAAAAAGCCGCGCGAAGTGCATCACGCGATCGAGTGCGGTCATTTTGATTTCCGTTGCAATGCGTCAAAAACTTTGACGTCGCACAGTGGATCGAGTCGATAGGAGAGGTTGGACAAAATTTGGAAACTTTAAACGCTTATGACTTCGTTAATACAAAACTTCGAAGTTCTGAAAGTGGTTTTATTGGTTTTTTCGTAAAATTTTCTTCTAAAGCACCCCTCAATCTTTGAAATATGACGAAATAAACATCAAAATTTGCAGCAGTTTGAGTACAAATGTTATGTCCAACCTCTCTAATCGACTCGCTCCATTGTGCGACGCAAGTCGCAGTCGCATTTGAAGTGAAAATAGGCTTGTTTGAAATTAATACACTTCGGTTCCCCGTCAATTTTGGGAAAAAATTCTTGATTACCCAGATTAAATTTAATTTTTCCTGACTATGGGTGTAAAAATCTTACACTTTCCACCATAAATTATATTCAGAGTGCGGTCTTTAGAATTCTGGCCCGGATCTTTACTCACGACTTCTGCGGTTGATTGTACGAATAACAGCCCATGCCGAGAAAAATCATTGTATGATTCAGACTGCAACACAGTAAAATCTGAATTTATAGTTCATAGATTTTTAAGATTAATGTACTTAGAGGCGACGGGGACGTCCCGTAAAGGGTTGGCGGCAGGGCGTTGACGAAGAGATGTTGCGGTGTCAGTTGCCCGATAACCTCTGGGAAGACAGGCATATGTGGCGTTTGGGTGTCGTAGAACGCCAGAGTGCGTTATAAAGCGACTTTATATATATATGTACTTTTCTCCGATGATCTCGCGTTGCAACCAAAATTTAGTACTTTTTCACATACATTCAGTTAAAAATCTAAAGTTTTCGTGATTTAGCTCACACCTTAGAAAATGCTGTAAAGACATAAACGGCCTCAGTAACTGGACGCTCTGAATAATAATAACTAATTAACGACCCGTCTTGAAATTGTATGGGTATACCGAGGCAAAGGTTCGAAAACTGAAAGCTCGAGCAGTATGAA